GGAACAAGATATAATGAAAACTAGTTTTGCATGAAGCTCTTGTTTTCTAATTTCAATCGTCCTTTTCATGGAATCCAAATATGTAAAGCGATTTTAATATCGATAATTTATATAATCTTAGCTACATTATACTTATGGTTTATCAGTACATTAGATATCGAACACGACATTTTTTATTAAAAGCTTACATAAGCCATACATTGAATACATTAAATCAAACATACATTGAATTAAGGATTTAAGCCCTGGACTTAATACAATGTGGAATGACCATTCCTTGAAGGTGTTGCTTTCCAAAACTTGGACGAGATGCGCAGCATCGAGTGTTAAGTAGGAAACAATGGTCATTCCACAATACATTTAGTCTTGGGCTTAAACTCTTTTCACACATTGCAAAATATTCTCTACCATGTCACATAAAAACACAAAATCACTTAAAGAACATATTTTCAATGAAACGTCTTGCAAGGGTTAAGTTGGCAAAACATCATTTTCAATCTGAAGAGTCAAGCTGTCACATTGAATACATTGAATACATTAAATTAAACATACATTGAATTAAGGATTTAAGCCCTGGACTTAATACAATGTGGAATGACCATTCCTTGAAGGTGTTGCTTTCCAAAACTTGGACGAGATGCGCAGCATCGAGTGTTAAGTAGGAAACAATGGTCATTCCACAATACATTTAGTCTTGGGCTTAAACTCTTTTCACACATTGCAAAATATTCTCTACCATGTCACATAAAAACACAAAATCACTTAAAGAACATATTTTCAATGAAACGTCTTGCAAGGGTTAAGTTGGCAAAACATCATTTTCAATCTGAAGAGTCAAGCTGTCACCTTGACTACCACATAAGGAGTGACCTTGGATGTAGTGATTAGTGATATATTAGTGATACACTGTAGTTATATGGAATACTGTGTTGGGATTGGCTGGAATCGGACACACCTTGCCTAGCTATGTGTAAATTAAGGATTTAAGCCCTGGACTCAATGCATTGTTTGCTGAATCATACCACGAAGGTGTTGTTTCCTAATCTTTGCATGACCACGCGTATCAGAATCTTAAAACACAGGGTCGGGTTGTTGAAGGAGCTACAACGATCATGAATGTGTGTTTAAATACATGCCAGGGACTTGTAGTGGATCAAGAATGTTATTAGATATCAACAGTTTTATACCTTCGTTACTAAACCAAGTGTATTATACACACAGGGAGTACTCAGTTAGTTAGTACAAAATTAGTGACAAATTAGCACTCGTGGCATGAGTGCTCATGAGCGCACTTTTGCCAGAGTGCTAATTTATTAGTACTGGAGTGATATTTTAGTACTAATTTTGTGAAAAATAAGTGTTTATTTTAGTATCGTTTTAGTAATGATATTTTGAGTAACTGATTTAGTACTACTTGAGTGCTATACAAAATTGCTCATTACTAAAATATTGTTTATTTACTGAAAATTGACCACTATTAACAGTAAGCCAGTGACATGCTAGCAGGGTTATACATCGCCAGCTTCATTCTATTCTCTTATTTTGACTCACTCCAACATCTGTCAATAATTGTTCCAAATATTCACACATCTTCATCATTAACTTTGAGTAACAAAGCAGTATATATATACATATGCACTTTTCTCATAAATGGATCAATATGGTGTCTGTCATTTTGTTTCCTAGCTTCAGACCGTTCCATGAAATAACTACAGGACTGGGAATGTTTTGAAAAATTTAATGATATATTTTTCCATGTTTTCTTCTAATTAAAATGTGATTTATTACGTATTCTGTATTTTATTTCCTCAATTAAAAAAGTCAATAAGTCATTTTAACTTTTGGGTACTATTTCATCACTCATGATACACGTGCAATAAATTAGTACTCATAGTATGGGCGCTCATTGAGAAATGAAAATTCAATGGAATTGGTGCTATTTCATCAATCACGATATGTGTACTAATTTAGTACTAAAACATACACTTCATTAGTGCTCATAGTATGAGTGCTCATTGAGTAATGGAAAATCAATGAAATTAGCGCTATTTTATCACTCATCATATGAGTACTAAATGAGCACTAAAACATGCAATAAATCAGTACTCATGCCATAAGTGCTCATTTGGTAGCACTAAAATACCATGAGTACTATTTTAATACTCGTCATATCTCCCTGTGTAGACCTCATGCATCGAACACTTGACCATCGTTCGCACACCAAGAAGATTCCATGTCCAGTCGTGTTAGATAACTCTAATGCGTACTTTATGCCGAGTGGGTATCGTTTGCAATGCGCTGACAGAAGTAGTTAGAAAACAGTCGATATCTAATAACATTGTGTTCAAGTAGGCACACATCTAGGATTGTAATCAAAGACTTCCTCCTGATAAAATCAATGTATTTTTTGCTCAATTTCACTAATAGTGTCAGTTCGGGGAATTATAGACAAAACGTAAATGAACAATTACTGGTAGTCAGCATTGTCCCTTTTATAGGGTATTGACCCTTGTAAACTGTACCAGTAAAATACCATGATCCCACTGCTTGTCAACATTGACCCTGTAAACTGTACCATTGCCCCACTTTTTTAGTCTGCACTGTTCCTCGAATTTGTACCATGATCCCATTGTAAGTCAGCAGTGGCCCCTGTAAAATGCACCATGATCCCATTGTTAGTCAGCAGTGGCCCCTGTAAACTGTACCATGATCCCATTGTTAGTCAGCAGTGGCCCCTGTAAAATGTACCATGATCCCATTGTAAGTCAGCAGTGGCCCCTGTAAAATGTATCATGATCCCATTGTTAGTCAACAGTGGCCCCTGTAAAATGTACCATGATCCCATTGTTAGTCAGCAGTGACCCCTGTAAAATGTATCATGATCCCATTGTTAGTCAGCAGTGGCCCCTGTAAAATGTACCATGATCCCATTGTTAGTCAGCAGTGACCCCTGTAAAATGAACCATGATCCCATTGTTAGTCAGCAGTGGCCCTTGTAAAATGTACCATGATCCCATTGTTAGTCAGCGCTGTTCCTAGTAAAGTGTAATATAATCCCACTGGTAGCCAGTGTGCATTGACACTTGTCAAATGATCCCACTGTTATTCAGCATTGAACCTTGTAAACTGTACCATGAGACTACTGTTAGCCAACAATTTCCCAACCATACATTGTTTTAGAATGAATCTACATTTACTGAGAAGGCCAAAGATGTAAACAAAACAAATGCATGGTGACAATATCTGAGCCGTAAACTTTTAGGGTTATTGTAAGATTAATATCAATGAAGGATTCCTTAAGATTAAACCCAACTTAGGTAGCAACACAATAGAATGAACTGTATCTATTTTGGGGGATATACAGTCGTAACAAAGAAAGGTGCATTCATTTTCTATTGCTTTTAAATAATTTCACATGGCAAGCTATCCAAAACCAGTGTGGTACAATAAAGCTGGTCTAATTACACCCTATTCACCTATTCAGTAGTTGAATAGTAAACACAAAAGGAATCAAAGTTTAAACTGTACCTGGCCTGTAACATGCAGTGCACTGAACCTGAACTTACTAAACACTTCCCAACACACTAAGATGATTCATCGCACTGGGTCGTAGAAGAAATATAATAGCCTCGGACTAAGGCCTTGGCTATCATTCCTCCTAAAACCCAGTACTTATACTTTATCCATAACATCCATAATATCCTCATACAGGGCCACACAAGTATGGTTTTAAGTAGAACTGCTTGCGATGGAACAAATGTGTAGAATCTTCTTATTGTTTTCTCGAATCTTCAAAGTTGACATTTAACATAGTGACAGAACAGAAAAATTAGTTGGTGATGCAAATGTGTCTGGTAATTTCGTTTAAAAAGATGATGTCTAATCAAAATATGATTATTCATCCTGGTCTAGTATAGCCATTAGGACGGCTCATGAAAAAATGAATTGGTAATATATCCGACAGTACAACATTCCAAAGTTCTGAGCATACAAGAGTTGCGTACTCTCTGTAGCAGTAATTATCCGATGCATGCAATTGGTCAATCAATGATTCCCAAAGTCTCACACTTCACTAGCATGCCTCATTGGTTATGTATTACTGAAAATAATGCAGAGTTTGAACGTCTAAATGTAATATAAGATGTAAGTCATCATGTTAAGCCAGGTAATCTCTTTTGCATTGTATATTTGCGAGGAAACAAATATGTAAATATTGTATCAGAACGAGCTTAGATACCTGTAGGCTGTAACTCGTTAATAAGGAAATCAATTCAGAAACACGTTTTTTGTAGTGGAAAAGAACAAAGATCAACATTACACTGACTAAAATAATACCACATTTATGGCATATCCTGTTCCAGAATGCCCTCTTCGATTGATACCACATACATGTATGACATATTATCACCAACAACTCAATCATATTTGTTATGAAATAATAATGATGTAATAAGCATGCAAAATATCACCTCAATGGCACACAAGGTAATTAATTACTGACGCCACACTAGACTATCCCAATGGTCAAATATTTCCAAGGAGAAACTTATATTTACAAGCCCCCAGAGACGGTAAATCATTACGCTCGTTGAGAGCAGAATTGAACTGAGGTCAGAGAGTGGAACAGTTTACTCGTAACAGACTTCTCTCCCATAGTTGAAAGAATCCATGTTTTTGTAAAAAATCTCCGTTCTTTTTGTGATTTTTCTTGGATTTGGGTATTTATTCTATAAAGCTATGAATATATGGAATGTCCTCGATCATTATACTTCCTCATTGGACGTAGAGAAGGGTCTTCTATTTTATTCTCAAGGTGCGTATGGTAATATATGCATACGGAGATATAAATATCATACAAAAATATCACATCCTATCTGTTTACCCTTCCTGTCAACGCACAGCTATGTTTAAAGCAACCTTATTATAATCTTCTTTATCCCTTTTATTATTTGTTTTCAACCCTAACTCAGATTTCTAATGATTTTTATTTTTATTTGCAGATTATTTTAAAACTTCATCTTCAGGTAAGGATAAAGCCAATCGCTTCATGATCATTTTTCACATCTATGTAGCACGTGATCAAACTAACCAATAGTGTACTCCCCAATATTCAACCCTTAACTGTCTGTGGATTAGTTTTGATTGAGTGTGCTTGTCGCATGGCTGGTGACTGTAGAATTAACAATTCCTTCAATCTGTAGTTCAAAACAATCTGATTATCATAATATTCATTCATTTACTAATATTCATAACAACTAGACTTTAAAACTAAAAATCAATGACCATATCCAGTAAATAATCACTAAACGCACATGATGCCATGTTACTAAGGAGTTACTAATAAGTTGTGGCACTTTAGAATCTAAACATTGAGTTCTAGCTCATACGCTCACACCCGATGATAGGAAGATTTGTCCAGCTTGGGAGAGCATGCTATTTTTCATAAAAACACTAAGAAAACTGCACAAACATATTTTTTACTCATATGTTTCGTTATACCAAAAATAATTAATTATTCCATTATTAGGTTTTCAGCATAATTCTGAAGGTAATGAGATCTCAATTTATCGTATGATCTGTAAAATGAAGCCCTCTGATAGGTCACTTCTTGTGCTGTACCAATCTGTATTGCTACTGAAATTGTCCCCATTGATCATCTCCGTAGCAATATAGAGGGGGTGCAGAGGGGACAATTTCAGTAGCAATACGAAAAATTCAGAATATTTTTTTAGGAATTATCTCCTAAGTAAAATGTATTGACCTAAGATCACACGATAAAATCGTTATAGAACGATTTGAAGTGCAATACAGGATATCAATGCTCTCGATATTCTGTTTTGGCACTCGAATTCGTCTCGTTCCAATACAGAATTTCTCGAGCAGAATATATCCTCTATTGCACTTCAAACCATTCAACAACTTATATTATCGTATGATCTGTAAAATGAAACCTTCTGATTGGTCAGTTATTGTGCTGTACCAATCAGTATTGCTATTGAGATTGTCCCCATTGATCATCTCCGTCGCAATACAGCAAATATTGGTACGGAAGGTACACTATCAGTAGCAATACAGGGGATCACACGATAATGATTTGAAGTGCAATACAGGATAAAATTTGCTCTCGATATTCTGTATTGGCACTCGACTACGTCTCGTTCCAATATGGAATTTCTCGAGCAGAATATATCCTGCATTGGACTTCAAATCATTCAATAACCTCTAGTATTGGGTCCTTTTATTTTTTTATAAAAAATGTTGTTCACTTTTTTGTTAAGCTTGGGGGAGCAGTATAACCAAGCTGGACAAAACTTAAACACTATTTCTTAAAATACTCAATACATCTAGATGTCATTAATACCTCCAGGGTTGTGCTGGAAACATATATAAAAATAATATGTCACGATATTGTGCCATTAAAAGATAAAAAAGAAATGGTACATTTTATAATATGATACTCTTGCGCCATATTCAATAGCTTCTAGTCTTAGCGTTTTACGACTTTAAACAGAAGTGAAGGTTATCCGCAAATGATACAATTTAAGTAGCTTTTTTCAGTCAACATCTTTTGCATATTTATATTTTATTTATATACTTTAATTGAATTATACTTTGCTTTATCACGTAAATGAAATGAGAGGGTCCCTACATCTAAAATGACATGTACAGTGTGCAATTTTTGTTTGATATAATAAGTGCATCAAAATATATTGCTGTATTTTAGTCGACATTCTACCACATCCATAATAAAATCCATGCAGTTTGATTGAAATACTAGATTTGATCATAGATCAAGTTATTGAATGAGTTGAACTGCAATGCAGGATATATTGTGCTCGAGAAATTCTGTATTGGTACGAGATGAAATCGAATGTATTGCTTAATAATAATTTTCAGTATTCTATCCTATGGCAATTCAGACTACAAACTGTATTGCTTATAAAACAAATGTTAAAGTATTTCAGCCTATTGCAGTTCAAACTACTAACTGCGTTGCTTATAAAACAAATGTTTCAGTATTCAAGCATATGACAGTTTAGACTACTAACTGTATTGCTTATAAAACAAATGTTAAAGTATTTCAGCCTATTACAGTTCAAACTACTAACTGCGTTGCTTATAAAACAAATGTTTCAGTATTCCAGACTATGGCAGTTCAAACTGCTAACTGTATTGCTTAAGAAGAAACGTTTCAGTATTCCAGACTATGCCAGTTCAAACTACTAACTGTATTGCTTATCAAGTAATAATGTTTCATTATTCCAGCCTATTGCAGTTCGAACTACTAACTGCGTAGCTTATAAAACAAATGTTTCAGTATTCCAGCCTATGGCAGTTCAAACTGCCAACTGTATTGCTTAAGAAGAAACGTTTCAGTATTCCAGACTATGCCAGTTCAAACTACTAACTGTATTATTTATAATGCAAATGTTTCAGTATTTCAGCCTATGCCAGTTCAAACTACTAACTGTATTGCTTATCAAACAAATGTTTTAATATTCCATCCTATGGCAGTTCAGACTACTAACTGTATTATTTATAATGCAAATGTTTCAATATTCCAACCTATGGCAGTTCAAATTACTGACTATACGCAATGCAAATATTTCAGTATTCCTGCTTTTTACAGTCAAAAAAACAACAACTGTATTGCTCAATATCAAACAAATGTTTCAGTATTCCAGGCTATGGCAATTCAAACTACTAACTAATTATTTATAATGCGAATGTTTCAGTATTCTAGCCTATGGTAGTTCAAACTACTGACTGAATTGCTTATAAAAAAATGTACCAGTATTCCAGCCTATGCCAGTTCAAATTGCTCACTGTATTGCTTATAAAACAAATGTTTAAGTATTCAATCCTATGCGTCTCATCACTTATCACGGTTTACCAAATTACGACATAAATTATTCTAGATCATTTATTTAGATATTTATAGGGAAATCAAAAGTATGACTTTAAGATCAGGGAATACTAATACCAGGTCTCATATTATACTGTTATAAAATATACATTCCTTGATGCTTTCTGGTTCAACTAGGCCGCCTAATTCTTAGTAAATCACAAAGATGTCTGAGATGTGACACTTAGAGGAATATTCGATATTACTTATTCCATATTTGAATTTCGTTTTTGTAAATGTGAGTCCTCGGCCATTGGTTACAAGACGAGTATGTTGAATGTGTTTCTGAACTTGAAGATTTGAGAGTATTTGAGAATATTATACATCTAAAAATGTATCAATCTATCAAACATTAAATCAGCTATGTATTTTCTCACTCATGTTTATATTATTGACCCAAAAGGGCTGTAAACGGTGTAAACCTTCGAGGCCAAATGGAATTATCACAAATATTTTTCAATTGTTGATAACAGTGACGCATCCGAGGGGCAGAATTTTAGGTATTTTTTGGCCAGGTTTTCAAAATTTGGGCTCAATTTTTGGTTTAGGGGCCCAACATTTTTTATTACGTGTAAGCGCGGGAATTTATCTCCAGACTCAAGATATGTCCCCCCCTTTGTTAATTTCTGGATCCGCCACTGGATAAGCACTAGATTTTAGACTAATTCAAAGTTGTTGTTACGATTGATGTAAATCATAGAATGATTCAAAATTAGCAATACATAATACAAACCAAATGCAATAAATTACTGAAAAAGTGCACATTTTATGACAATGAGACGTTTGGGAAATGTTAAAATGCCAAAAACGAAGTAAATCATTTTGTAAATAGTTTTATGAAAGTCGGTGAGAGAGCCAGTGCTGAAATGTGTAGAATAGAGGCTATCCAATCCATAGAGTAAAAGGGTTTGATTGGAGACATTGTTTTTTACAAATTAGTTGTCTAAAACTACCGATATTAAGAGGAATAGAACCAGCTGACATTGGGGAGACAGCTTGTTGAAGAAACAACAAAGCCGACAGCTGTGCCCCAATAAGAATTCTACTCATTTGGGAGGTAAATGATATAAAATTGCATAATTGGGGCTTTTAATATTTTGTACTAGTATTCGTAAGGGAACTTGGTCCAAACATTCAGTGGGCACAATGATTAGATATTGCATGGTTAATTAAAACGTAAGTTTTAGATACATACTTGCATAGACGTCTACAACCATATATGTAAATGCAAAAATAACATTACAACTGTTGCATTAAAGAAGTAATATCAAACCAATAATACGAGTCATTACATGTACTTACTGATATGTTTATAGTATGTATAATGTATTTGTATATACAGGGTGTCCCGAAAGTATGCTCCCCCCCTGGGCAGGCATACACCAATGTCCCGATAGTATGTCATGTATCACTTTAAAACCTATCCAAAGTTACATTGATTTGCCAAGAATCATGGTTCAACTCACAAATGGGAAAAAGTTACAGGCATTTCAAAATGTAGTGTTTTACCAAAATTAAAGCTTAGTTTTACACAAAATAAATAGTCGGCGTGTCTCCCTTGGCCATGTTAAAGCTGTTTGGCAATGTTATTTGGACCTATTTCTACCCAAATTGAGTTACTAAATCAATCACTGGGTAAATAAATACATATACATGAAGGCCCAGACATGTTATAGGTCATTCAGAATCACAATTCAAGGATAAAATACCTGCTTCTTACCTGGCAAAAAGTAAGAGAAAGGGAAATCCCCAAAGCTGTAAATCTGTGATTTCTAATTCTAGTCATGTTACCACAATAACTAAGTAGCTTGCAGCAGTATATTTGCTTTTCTCATGGACTCTAGATCCTCCCTTTTCCTACTACTGGGTTTGGGCAACGTGGCTATGTCCCTTAATCCCATAATATGAATATTAATTTGATAAATCTAAAGAACAATTTAAACTGAGAGGGAATTCCCCATTTTGTGTGATGGCATCAAAAGTTGTGTAATGGAGCACAAGGAATTTCTGTGGTAAATTATCTTAAAATAAATTCTCAACTTAAATTGAGAATTCTCTGTTTATCCACAGAGTTAGGGGACATAGCCTGCCTTCACAGAAAGGTAAGATATTTAACTT